CTTGGTCTAAATATTTGCATATTTTGCAACAAATAAGATTATTATTATGAAGATGGAATACAAATACACTTAGCACTACCAAACTGACAAATGCATGTTATAGTAAACATCTACATATGTAAGTTGTATAATGATACATGTTCTATGGACATCATGAACGATTTATTGAAAAAGCAAACAATTTTATCAGACATCTATAGAAAAGTGTGTAACTTAGGATTTCACTTATCACAACAAAACCTTACCAAAAGATATATAATGACAAAATATAAAATCAAATTATTATAAATAGCGTCTGTAACCTTATATCAGTTCATATTACATATTTAGTACTTGGCTGATCCTCCTCGTACTCTAATAACCCACGCAAAGCGACGTGGTATGCTGTCGATGAGGTTATTGATGTAATCTACCGAGATTTCATCCCAACGTTTCACTACAAGACGCTACAACTCAGCTACAGTAGTTGGTTTAGGGTCGTGCTTAGCAATTTTTTGGCTCAAGAACTGAGCCAACAATTCTCAATGGGATTACAATTTGGAGACTTTGCTGGCCATGGCAATCTTGTAACATTCTTCTGATCGAGGTAATCCTGTACAATATGCACACTGTTGGCAGTGGCATTGTCATCCTGGAACACAAAGTTATTGCCAAACCTTGCCCTAGCATATGGCAGACACATCTTCTCCATGTGATGCCTGTATGGGGTGCCATTAACGTTTCCCTGAAATATATGAAGAGCACTTTTTCCATCATGATGAATAGCTGCCCAAAGATGTACTGCACCACCTCCTGTGTGTTCTCTGTGGGAAAGACAATCTTCCTCATCTGTTCTCTAGTCAATCGACGAAACGAATGCTACCATCAGCTTTAATAAGTCCGAAACATGACTCATCTGAAAAGATGACATGTCGCCAGTGTCCTAACTGTAAGTTGGCTTGCTGTCTTGCCCAAGTAACACGGTGACGGTGGTGAATTCTGTTTAATATCGGTTTGCAGATAGCCCTTCTTGCAAAATAACATTGTTTGGCTAGTGTCCTGTTCACTGTTGTTCTGGATACCCTGGAATGAATGTTTTCATGCCATTACTGTCGTATGGTGTTGCAAGACTTATTTCGTCCTTGATGTGTTAACCTGATCAAAACATCGTCATCTCGGGCAGTAGTTTTTCGGCGTCTACTAGTAGGCTTTCCTGGAACTACGTTTCTTGTAGTCCAATAACGTTTCAGGATTATGGATTCAGTACACTGGAGATATCCTACTATTCTGGCAATGTTCGTTTGCTTCATACCATTTCTGGACAGTCGAACAATTTGACGTCCTATAACTTCTGACACGCGACGAAGCACGCCTCTACACCAAGCACAGAAAATATGTCTGTACAAAGCATTGATGTGTTTCGAAAAAAATATTTGAAAATCACACCCTTATATACAAAACAGGTGTGTATGAGTGTTTGGACGAACAAATGCTCAAAACAACTTATACAGATCAGAATAACAACTCGTACATGTTTGTCCGATCATACGCAAACTTACCTGTTACTACTCGGACATTTATTTAATAACTACTTCATGCATGTAGACAATAACATCAGCATAGAACAGTACGCAAGCCTTCTGTCCAAAACTGTAATAATCAAAACCACCCTCCGCCAACTCTTGCACTACTATTATCAGACCCAAAGTAAAGATTGCGAGATTATATTTGAGGGGGGGGGGCTATAACGGGACGCAAGCCACTAACCTTCAGGTCAACAGTTAGGCACGCTAACAAGCAAGCCGTCCTCAGCCTTTCTGTTATTGCATACTGTTCTTTCTTATTTAATCTTTGTCAGTGTTAATTAGTGCTTGATAGTATTACTTAGTGCATGCGTAAAGTTTAGTTCTGTCTTGAAATTAAATTATTGACCTCCAACTACACAGATCCTCCGTGTAAAGCTTAAAGATATAGCTTGAATCCTACCACACAGATATTTATAACTAACATCGAGTGGATCCACACAACCACCAGTAACACTCTTGTCTGTATCTGTCTTTCAGGTGGGGAAGTTTGGTTAACAGCTAAGATTTCCTTCTAGAACAATTTCTTTTTTTTTCGATTCTAATTTAATAGGCAATCAAACTGATAGCAGTGTGCTACTAGGGACAATTTAAAGAGATTTTGAATTTCCTTCGCCATATATATTGTGTTGGTTTTTCTTTCACACACACACACACACACACACAATCAATACGTAATTCACATACGTGTGTAATAGATAGAGATGGTTTTTCATTCATAACGAAATGACATTTTACTTTTGCTACATCTCAGCGGATTTCTCCACTGACTTCATTACTGAAAAGTAGCGGAGAAGTGCACTTTGTTTGAAATCGCTCCCGTCTCTCTAATGTGACGTACTGAAACCGCTTAAACACGGCTAATCGCTATAGCCGTCGCTAGCTGTCATTACTGAACAACCACTTGGAGTGAGGTAGCCTCGGGCAATGAGAATTCATCATTTTAAATCAAATTATATCATTCCAGCCGCCGTAGTCTGCTCAGATCCACCCTAGAATCAATATATATATGTTGACAGAATCGGCTCACCGAGCACGAGCAAGGGCATCTTTCTTATGCATGGACACCTCTTAACGACAAAGAAGCCTGACCCTAACACCAGCATCACTGATTCTATGTATACGTGTCTGCATGTCTGTAGAACAGGATCTTTATTTAACGTATTAGCTTTTACGTTTAATATATGTTAATCATTGCATTTCCCAGTTCAAATCTAAATAAATCTGGTTTAGCCAACGGGTCACCTCGTCAGCGTGATTGACCTATTCCAGAAAGTTACACATAGAACTGAAACCTGTCCTTCACGTCTTCCCTTTATTTATAATTGAATATATATACATGAAGAAACATAACAGAAACACTGAGAGAAAGAATAGAAAAGAGCTCAATAAACATACAGATAGACAACAGAATGGCTTAGTAGAGGTATCATACATTTCATTAGGAAAAGTAAAGCCATATGTTATTTCTGAATTGAACAATTCATGTTAAAAAAATTAGAGAAAAATTCCCAGAATAAAATATTGTAAAAATAAGAACGAAATAATTGTGTTTAATCATAACAAGCTCAATTACTTTCAGTAAGCGAGTTCTTATCAGAAAATAAAGTCAGAATACAGTCTGTAAAACACATATTCATACAACAATTTCATGATTACTTTTGTTTCAATCTTGCCTTACCTTCCACAGAAAGATCTGGAGAAACTCAAGTACTCTGGGGTAGGTAGCACTTTCAGCACGGAACCATTTCAGCAGTAATAAGAACAAAATTGAAAAACTTTTACTGATCCATTCAAACCCAAACCCTTCCTCTGTAAAAAGAGGGCTTATGACTGATTTAACATCCTTCTTTTAAATATGTCTATCTTACTCTGTAGTCAAATAGATGGATAAAATTGTTCGCCTTTATAGGTGTTTACACCACAACAACTGTTATTCGTGCAGGAAAACATATTACTAAATTGTCTCAGGATTTAATCTCATCTAGAATATATAACATGGCCGCCTTGGTTGATGGTTCGATTCCCGTTAGGGGTGTTCCTGGTCCACTTAGTCATTCATCTTTCTAGGGTTTATAAATGAGTATCCGTTCGCTTGGGGAGTCCATTTAGACGAGAATGTTTATTCAAGTAGCCTTCTGAGCCTCCTCAAGTCCTGTCTAGAGCCGTAAAGGGTATGAAATAGGCATTGGTACAGCAGTAAGGCCATCTAAGGCTAGCTTTGTGCAAAGGGCACAGCTTAGATTTTTGATCATATGTAACATAATACTGATAATAAAATGAAATATTTAAAAATATATACATATTACATACAATCGTATTCGGTAACTGGAATCCATAATATGATTATATATATATATAATATTTTCCATCTTTTATTAATAACATCTGAACAGTCACTTATCTACAAATAATGTTCTGTAGCCTGATCAATTTTAGCCTTTCATTTTGTTATTCTCCTCGATATTAATTAATTGTAATTTTATATCAGTTATATCAACACATCAAATGGTTATTGTTATCTCTCCATCAAGAGAATACGTTGGTCCAGAGCACGCACCTTCCATACGTAACTATGTGGCTAAAGGTTATTCCTCTAATAATGAGGTTTAGATCCTCAGGTTTGTAGTCTCAATTATAAAAAAAAGTGAGGGTGAAATTACCTGTAAACTCATACTGTGGTAATGCAAAAAAGAAAACACACAAAAAAAAACGCTGTACATCAATCATAAATTAAATTTAATCAGCAATTTTATGGGCTTTGTACAAAATTTTAAAAAACAAAAACTCGTTTACTTCCTGCAATAATACTTGCAACTGATTGTGGACCCGGCTAGTAAAAACATATACATTTCATAACTGTGCACGAGCCAGGTTAACTATAACGCGTCCTTCAGTGTGCTTCCCCCTTTTGTGTATAGCCGTTTACCATCTGATAAACTACCTGAGAGTTATCGTGTTTTGTTTCCCGGTTTCATTCTTTTTTTTACATACATGTGAGCTGCTGAATATATATATATACTTGCAAACAAAACTGTTCGATTCAGGGGTGGTTTATAAAATTTACAATTTCATTCTCTTAATTATGTTATTACCGTTCGTGTTTAACTTTCAAAAACAATAAATTGCAATGCTACACCCTGTATGATAGACCTAAATTGTGTATCACTAAAATCATCTGCAAAATAGCGTGATAAATCAACGGTCCCTGTTTCTCTATGATATGTAGCGTCCCTTGTTGCAGTTTACAAAATCTATTAAGTTAATTGACGATCCACCCATGTTACATCAAAGTTATGTATCACTGGAAGTAAACACTTATCCCCAAATCCCACTCCCCGACTCTAGTGTGTTAAACTCGTAGTCCCCACATATAAAACTTTTGTTCAACACTCTCTGTTGTAGTTCGTGAAATACATAGTTAATTTACGACTTTACCTGTATTCGATCCTCTGGTAGGTCAGTTTTCAAAGATAACATTTCTCTAGCGTAAACATCCGGGTAATGAGCCTCTTTGAAAGCCTTTTCTAACTCCTCCAACTGGTAGCTTGTAAAGATAGTCCTGCAGAGGAAAATATTACATTATATAAGGGGGTTGAAGATACTACAAAATCGCAGTGTGGAAACATGCCAACATTTCCGTGATAAAAGTGCATTTATCACTCATAAAATTACCTGGAAAAGGACCTATTTATAATAGATTCAGAACAAATAATAACATTCAACCCCTTACTTCCTTACAAAGACCTCTGGTAACCATCGTTCTACACATGGTAAAAATCGGCACAACAGTAAAATCAACTAACTGAGAAGTTTCAAATGTAGAACTTTCTTTTCTTTCAGCTCTAATAATGCATACATACGTACGTACGTATTGATATATAGAACGGTTTTGTCTCTAAAGCTCTCAGCAGACTGTATATACATATGGAGTTATTCTCGTATCAAGTGACTTGCGTCTATCAATATAATTAGTTTCTTTTACAGATTTTACCTCTTCAAGTCAGTCACTCAGGAACAATTAATAACTATCATACATATGTAAGTGTCTATATATATGGGTATACACACACACATACACATACAAAAACACGTGTATGTGTTACAAATTACCTTATCTGAAAATAATAATCACGTTATTTTTTTCTTGGAGTAGTTATTTTTGTTACTTGCAAAGAGGCGACACCATTAATATATATATACAATAAAAATAAATAAATGAATGAACACCATACAAGCTAATGATTTATATCTGGCCTTGGATTTATCCTCGTTACCTTCTAATGAGATTTTACATACAAAAAAAAATGTTTAAGCAGTTCATTTTTCGAGAAATAAACTCATATGCTAAGAGCTTTCAAGGTAATTGGAAAAACCGTCAGCGAGCAGAGAAGAAAGACTACGCCCGTGCGTTATTGCCTAAACAAAGCTGATAATGTAATATAGCTGAATAACTGCCTTAGGTACGTATGATAATAGCAGCTTCAACATCTCATCAATTAAGATTCGAACGTGAAACTCATCGTATCACTGTTTGCTGTAGGTAGATTGAATTTTCATAAATTTATTTTAGAATTATCGTTCATATGAAGAATTCTTAGAACGGGCATTTTTTGAACACATCATAAAAAGTACAGGATTAATAACTTGAACAAGTACTTGGCTAAATGTAGAATAATCCTGTCTCACATACTACAAAATTTACAATGGTAGTTCGATTGTTAGAGTTCATTATTGTTCACACCAATAAAGCCTGCCTTCGTTCTCGAGTCTCGTGAGCATGACGTCATTCAGGTGGGTCTTTGTAAGAGGGGTAATTTTTGTCACGAAGGAGAACGAAGTGAAACTCGGCAAATATTTGTCGAGTTCTGATTCAACTTGCTCGATGTGTTCGATAATGGAAAATTTGTCTGTCCACCAGTAATCGATAATGAATTCAATGTTTTGTCCTCAAGGCTAGCACGCGGACGTCGCGTGGAAACGTTCAGCACGGCAAGGGGCAATGCTTTATATTATAACTTATAAATCATGATTTTACACAATTGCCAATGAACGAATTGTGGTTAATATACTCAGTGGTGTAGCTAAATATTCATGCAAAAACATTAAACTTTTATTAAATCAATTCTAACTTTCGAAACGTTAAGATATTATGTTTTAATCGATAATTTTTCATATTTCTACCCCCAGTGGCTCAGCGGTAAGTCTTAAGGCTTATAACGCTCGAAACCGGGTTTCGATTCCCGTGGTGGACACAGAATTGTGTAGCTTTGTGTTAGCTACAAACAATTTTATATTTCTTCTGTCAATACATCACAAATTTAATACACCAATATGCCTCCACGTCACAAAAAGATGTTTTTTTATTATCTTTATTCATAGCTTCTAGATTTTTTAACATTATCAATAACGTTTATCTAAATTAAACAATATATATATATATATAATATATAGTTTATAGTTTTTCTTTACATGATATTAAAACAGGATTTGAAACTCCAAATTACCATTAATTTGTTTTAAATACTCTCATATTTTTACCTTTATTCAGTATCAATACATATTATTTCTAAATGTGATTTCAGTAAGCCAGATTAACTGTCTCAGAACGGTAACATTGCTTTTAATTCATTTTAACCGTGGTAACATCCGTTTGACTAAGGTTTATTTATTTGTAATTATGCACAAAGCTACACAATGGGCTATCTGTGCTCTGCCCACCACGGGTATCTAGCGTTGTAAATCTGCAGACATACCGCTATGCTACTGGGGGGCTTGACTAAGGATCTGTGTCTGTCTTTTCACTTTATTTTAATGTAGATATATCTATGGGCTTACAGTAAAAACCAAGCGATAATGTCACATAGGAACATATCATTCCTTGAAGTAAATTGCAAATTATTATGAACTAATTTAAAATGTACTAATCTCATGGATGCGTTACGTCAAAACCTATCGTTTCTTCTCATAAAGTGCAAGTAATTATTGTTATAGATGTATTGGATAGATGGTAATCGTACATAATGATGTAGATGCAAACTTTGGTACCATGTCGACGTCACAGCGATTTCTCATAGGCCAATGGCGGAACAGCTGTTGGCGGTCCAGACTTTGGATCCGACGTTTCGTGGTTTGCGCCCCGTCATCCACAAAAGATATCGCGCTCCGCACTCTAGGAAGGAGCATTATAAGAGTGACTGTCAAATCCCACTATTCGATTATAACATCCCACGAGTTGGCTGTGGGTAGTGTTGACTAGCTGCCTTCCTTCTATAGCATCCCACCAGTTGGCAGTGGGTAATGTTGACTAGCTGCTATCCTTCTAGTCTGTCACTTTAAAATTAAGGACGGATAATGAGTAACTTAAAGTGAAATTCAACAAACAACAAGAAACAACAGCCTTTTCCAATGAAGTATATTCGTGTAGCCAGGCTTTCAAATAGCATAGAGCCAAAAAAATACAGCACTCTAAGAATGGAACATTCGATATTCTCTATAAAAAAGTAGAAAAAAAACTCGTATAGCAAAGCTTCTTGGACAGTTATGGTCTCCGAAACCAATCGCGAATACTTAGTATGAACTTCGAGATATCATACACATAACTTCAATGTTCCAACGATAGAAGTTGTTCCTTTGGACCTGCTACCTCATCTTCGATTTCTCTTCAGATAAAGTTGAGAATCAAGAAATACAAAACATTCAGTATTCTTGCTGTTTTTATCACTTCAGTGGAACGAAATATCTGCACAACAAATTTGGTTTTAAAATGTCAGTCGTTTGATGAATGTATTCAATGGGTGATTAAGAAATAGATCAAATTAATAGGACACAGATAACATTAACAGAGCCTTAAATGAAACAAGCTAGAAATTTAGATAGATTCATGTACTGGAGACTATGACTAAAAGCTACAGTAACTGAAGATTTGTAAGTTTACTGACTTACAACGCTAATCTCCAGGGTTCGATTCCCCGTGGTGAACAGAGTGCAGACAGTCAACTGTGTAGCTTTTCACGAAGAATAAAAATAACATTATTATTTAACACAATATTAAAATTACATGAAATACATAGGGGTGAAATCTTTCTGAAACAGGCAAATAACATAAAACGAAAGTTAAAACAGCCACAAAATAGGGAAAACATCCTCATACAGAGAAATTAATAGACTATTAACTTAGAGCAAGGCTTAAACCTATAGAACGTTCTCACATAGACTATTTAATATAAGATGGAAATGCTTGGACATTAATAATTAACATTTGTTTGTTTCTTTGTTTGAAGTTAAGCACAAAGCTACACAATGGGCTATCAGTGCTCTGCCCACCATGGGTATCGAAACTCGGTTTCTAGCGTTGTAAGTCTGCAGACATACCGCTGTGCCACTGGGGGGGGGCAATAATTAACATCATGCAAAAATATTTAAAACAGGGACGAGAAACAACGTACACAAAGTGAAAGAAAGGTCCTGATACAGACAGACAGAAAACTTTGAAACATACGTTTTTTTCTATATTTACTTTCCTTTCTACTAAAAGAACTTTCTTTTATGTATATTACCTTTCCATTAAAACACATTATTTTCATCGATATTACCTTTCCACTAAAACATGTTCTTTATACGTATATGACGTTCCCGCTAAAACATATTTTTATGTATATTACTTTTCCACAAAAACACACATTTTTCATTGTATATTATCTTTCCATTAAAACACCTTTCTTTCATGTATATTACCTTTCCATTAAAACACATTCTTTCCATGTATATTACCTTCCCGCTAAAACGTATTTTTTATGTATATTATCTTTCCATTAAAAATACCTATTTTTCTATGTATATTATCTTTCCATTAAAACACCTTTCTTTTTCTATGTATATTACTGTCCACTAAAACATATTTTTTTTATGTACGTTACCTCTCCACTAAAACAGATTCTTTCTATGTATATTACCTTTCTACTAAAGCACCTCAATGTCACTTCGGTTATAATTGATGTGATGGGTATGGCAATGGAATACAATGTTGAATGTGTAAAATGTATATGTCACCCTGTTAAAATTCACTCACATTTATTACTTTACACTGAGATATTTTATGGTCTAGGATGAAGTTTTCAATCGACCAGTTTATAGAAGAAGTAATGTTGCTGAAAGTGTCCCTGATGTGTCCCTCTTTCAAGGTTACTGTTTAAAATGTGTTAACCATACCATTTGTTTGGATATGTAAGTGTACAAATAGAAACATGTTTCATCTTTTCTAATCGAGTACTGATTAAAGAAACACCTAAACAGTGACTCAGTTTCCTTTTGGTGATACAATCATGGGTTATGCCTAATTCCTAAGTTAATTTCATGTGGAAAGAATATACGTAAAAATCAAAACCATAATCTCCATTCTTCAACAGCATATACATATCGTGCTTTCTTCTTTATTTAGTAGTAAATATATGCTTCTGTAGGTGAATATATATATATACCTTCGCTTTATTCAGCAGTATATACATACCTGTGCCTTCGTTTCTTTTTTTCTTCTTTACTCCAATAAGGGCTTCATTATTGTTACCATAACTACCAAGATCAGGAGAAAACCCTGTAAAAGAAAGTGACGTGTGTAAAAGAAGACTTTTTTTTTGTATATGGGAATGTACCACGAGAACGACAGAAATTGCATAAATCGCCTATATGAGGTTTACAATGTGAAATATTATTTTGTAAGACAAGATAATTTTTTTAATTTTCTTTTATGTAAATTTCTGAGCGCGGATTGGTTCCTGTGGTAGAGCACTGGATTTTGGAGCTGGATTAGAATCCGTGTGTTATTACAAAATATATCCCGCACTTTAAGCTGTGGGTACATTATAAGAGTGACTGTCAATTCCTTAGCGTGGATGGTGGGTGGTAGGATACTTGTGAGTTACTGCTTTCCCTCTGGTCAGTAGCTCAAAATCATAGATGGCGGCAGGTAATAGCTTTACCATAAAGTATATTTTCTGTAGCTCAGCTGACTAAAAAAAACTGTAACATATGACCACTGTTTCTGGAGAATTCTTCATTACGAGAGCCTCTATAGTTTCTAGTACAATCTACCAGTCTGAGGTTTCTGTTGGTTATACATATACATAAGCATGATTTCTATTTACTAAACATTAAAAGACGCTTTCGCTGAACACGCTAGATTATATGAAGTTCACAAAACTGAAAGCATGACAATGGTGAAGGACACACTGGACACAAAAAGATTTCCCATTAGAGAAATTAAATGCTGAGATAGTTCTAGATTAGAATTCAGACGCACGCTATAACTAATATTTCACATTTTCTTTTTGTACACTAAGTCATTGTTTGCAGTGTTAGCAAAATGAAGAAAGTTTGCTCTTTCAATAACCTAAATGAATATGTGATTTAATTTGTTCCACTCTGTGCTCGGTTTCCAGACAAAAACCTTAATGAGCAAAATTCAATGTCATTTCTGGCCTGGTGCTAATTTAATTATTTTTTCTTTGTACACGTTGAGTTCATTTTGCGCGAGTACAAAAACGAAACGAAAATATAACAAAATAAACTTCAAGCAAATGTGTGTTTGTTTGTTTTTAATCTTGATATTTCTTGCCATTTGATTTTGCTTATGCACAGGGTTATGTTTTACCTTTAAATCTATTTTACTAAGTCAGTAGTTCGCTACACCAACGTTCTCCTTTTTTTACGTTATGACTTACTAATGGATTCTTAATTTAATTATTGCAGCTTTCAGCACTGGAGGCAACGCGTGCAAGCGAGGCTAATAGGCGCGCGTTATCGTATTGTTTGCACGCCTATAAGGCCTAAGATAGTGCTGCCCTCTTTCCCTCGAACATAAGAAGAGACAGACTTTCATAAATTTATATGCAACTTTTTGCTATAGGTAACCTTTCAGAAAATTTAATTGTAGTCGAATACTTGTTTCTTTTGGATACTTTCACAAAGCCAAAAAAAAACGAACTAACCTACGTTGGCTATTTCTACTTTTGAATTGACAGACTAGAGGGAAAGCATCTAGCTAATAGCACAAATTGTCAACTCTTGGACAATTTGAATCAAATAGTTGAAACGTCACTCTTATAACTCACCAACACCCCAAAGCACAGAGCGCGATTCTACAGCAACCGTGGACTTTCGAATTCACAGTTTTTAATGTTAACTTCAAGGCCACAACCGGCCACAGCCGAAAATTAGATTTAATACTACATGAAAAAACAACTTATCTTTGGAAGTATAAAGCGTATTCAGAGTTAAATCATAAAGTTTTGTAGATACACCTTTTCGTTCCTTTCTCTAAAATTTGTTGAATATTCTTGTACACAAACTCTTTCTCTGTATTGATATTTAAATACAAGATCTCTTTAGTCTAATTTTAAATTCCTTAAAATATTATGCATAAACAATTTCGAAAAGTGATAGAAAAACATAAAAAAGGCAGTTAGGTACAGAAACAAACGAATGAACTCAGATGTGTTTTTAATTAGCTAATAGGAAATTAATGTTAATCGTGGTCTTTTATTAAAATTGATAAATGAGTTTATTTATGTTTGTGTGTTAGCTTATTGTTTTGAATGAATAAAACATGGTCATAATGATGGTTTGTACTGGGTGAGGTTATACATTGTTATGCATGGCAATAACGAGGTTTTCATTATGGATTTTTAACACACATACTTGGAAGATTAAAATTTAACCCTCATACAAACAGGGGTTCATTTTAAAACGCTGCGCTTTGAGTTTAGAAAGTTCATTTGAACTGACTGATATAAGGTGGCTTCAATTTATCTTTAATTTGACAACAAATATTTCAGAGATTAAAACAGGTAATGGAAAAGCTAATGTTAAATCTAAATTCTTTTATTAAACTATCATAAAATCACAATAGTCAGGATCGTCGTTGCTTTATAATATAAATAATCTGTAGAATTTTAGATATGTGATATCAAAAAAAATAATTAGGAAACAAATCTCGTCATTTTGAGTCAATTTTAAACCTCTTCGTGACACTTAATGGTCATACGAGAAAAGATAGATAGATAAATATGATTCATAGTTACACGTACAGATTACCGATACAGTATTGGCACACGTACAGATTACCGATACAGTATTAGCACACGTACAGACTACTGTTGTGTATTCCCCGAAATATTTAACCAACCTTTTTAAGAGTTTGAGCTTTCTATCGCGACCGTTTCTATAGCTATTACTAGTTTCATGTAGCCTCTTCAGTTTCCATACATCTCCTACTGAAACATAAAATTTCGCCTCAGTTTTTCAATAGAGTAGCCATTCTCTGCCAACAATTTGGCTTCTGCACATTTGTCACATGATACTTCTGTCCTAAGTGTATTCACCATACTACTGCTAGAAATAATTTGACTACCTGTACTTTTATAGGCATTTTGCTAGTGTGTCACTGTCGGATTGGTTGGGTGAAAACCAATCAATCACAGCTTAAACTATCAACCTATGATTGGATTCTGGTGTAGTTCCATAGTAGTTGCATTTATACTCATTTTATTAACTGTTTTCATAATTTTTTCCAATAATTCATTTACATAAATAAGATTAAACAGACGAACAAAGATATGGATGAATAGAGAATTATATACAACCAGATAGCTGAAGATACGCCGGTAGACATATAAACAGCCAACGGTTCGATAGGCAGACATTTTGATATTCATATTAATAAACATACTACATACTCATATATGAATAAATGTATGAAAAGTGAAAAAAGGACACAGACAAACTGAAAGATAGATAGACTCACAAACTTATATTTATAAGTATAGGCCTTTCAGTTTTAGCTTCAAAAATCAAGTTTTGTAATTAATACAAATTGAAACTCATAAAAGAGTGCATAAAAATAAAACTTCTAAATCTTATGAGGCATAAAACTCTCAGTGAAATTTCGTTAATTCGCACGTGTTTAGTTCGTTTCTTGCACGTTTACAACAATAGGAGTATCTTACTGGATAAATTAAAGTATAGCTAAACTAAAGCATGGAAAATAGTGTTTTTGCTATAGTGTTTTACCTCTGTAGTCAGTTAAGCCTATTTGATATTTCCCTTCTCAATAACGACATTCCTCAATACCATTGCCTTCATATTACTTAAGCTCACACTCCGATATCCCTGCAAAACATTTTGCGTAAAAAAAAAAACCTTTTCCGATTTTATGATAAGTTTGTTAAGGTGGTGTTTATAATTGGAAATAAACTGGCAATAAGTGAACAAAAATAAAATTCAACAGCATTTATATTAATTTAATAGAATAGGCAGATAGATAGATTACATCAATTTGCTTGAACGGTTCTTATTATTGTGAAATCGAATCCGAAAATAACCTTTCGTTTTCAAGCAAATTAATTTGTAGCACAAAACCATTGAATTGAGTTCGAGTAAAGTCAGTTGTACGAATCGCTTCTTAGCTGGAAGCTGAATAGAGAGGATTATGTGGGCTCAATATCCTCTAAACTGTTCGTTCAGCCATTCTCTGATTGCCTGTTAGTTTACAATCTCCTGTTACAGAAAAGCCGTTATAAGAAGACCTGTTGCTAAGGATACGAGGAGAACAGTATATCATAAGGTACTAGAACTTATTACTGAAAAGTCAAACTAAAACTACAACAAAATATGGCAAATGCGTCAAAGAATGTTACAGTAGCAACAAAACACGTGAGCAACGGACTCTTCATTTTCATGTTCACATTTAATTCGAATTTAAAAAAAAATCATGGACTATATATTGATCAATTTCGAAATAAGCAAGATTAATAGAAACATGTCAATTCAGAAGTTTAAGGGAATCAGTTTTTCTGGATAACTTGGCTGTGTCTAAAAGTCTCCTGAATGGCAGCTGAAAAGAAAAGATCAGCTATTGCCTGATGACGGCTGCGTAATTATCTTCAGTTGAACCGTTTTAGGAAAATTAAAGTTCGAGATTTGTTCAAAACCGAAAAAGCTCATGTACCGAACTAGTCAAGTTATTTAAAAATATATTAGAAAAGTGACGTACCTCAAGTTCTTATTTCGTAGAGTTATTTCTTTGATTAAAGCTATACCCTTATAAATTTCAGAATTTATTTTTCGGGAATATTTATGAATCAAAATCGACCAAAGTTTGTGCAGAATTTACTATTGTTTGTTCGTTTATAATTAAGCACAAATCTACACAATGGACTATCTGTGCTCTGCCCACCACGGGTATCGAAACCCGGATTCTAGCGTTGATAAGTCCGCAGACATACCACTGTGCCACTTAGGGGGCTATAATTTACGAACAACTTTTGTGATGATTATATTCGTTTCTACTGCCTTCTCCTGTAATATATCACCTGAGTGTTTCTCTCGAGCACTTTGTTAATACCGCTTTACAACAGGAAATAAAACGTCAATTTCGGATCAATATAGACAATTATCACCCAGGAATCTTCCCTAATTCCTGATTTTTGTGTAAACTTGTATATTTTCTGATATTATATGATTTGTTAACAACTTTGTAAACATGAGCACGCACAG